GGCTCAGCCCTTCATTATTTTTTGCCCAATCTTTTTAATTCCTCTTGATCATTATTCCTACTTTTAAGCTTCTTTTCTCTCCAACCATCCTTTGTAGAGTCAAGGGAGTCAACTACCACAGAATAGCCTTGACTGTTTTTCACACCCTGCTCAAAGATTTTAACACTTCTCTTCTACCTAATAAAGTCCAAACTCCTTGAAAGAGTGCAAGTCTCTCCATCTTTCTCTAACTTACCTTCTCAATAATCTCCCTTTACCCACATTCCTTCAGCCTGATGTGTCCTGCACCTCACTGGAATCCAAAACATCCTGGAGAGAGTAGCTGGATAACATTTCTACCATGCTGCATTCTGTACCGACTCTTCACCCCCAGCAAGCACGTTCTCTCCCATCATACCCTATGCACAGCACTTTATTTATACCCCATTACAGCACTTACTACATTCTGCAGTATATAGAACACACTACATGGAGTGGAGTGGAATGGAATGGGTATTTACAAATCTCGATCTTTCCGTAGATGGAATTTGATAAAAGAATGATGAAATAAACAGAGAGCACACAAAGCAACTTTGAAGAAAGGAAGAATTGATTTAAAATCTGAATGGTAAAGATGTTATAAGGGCTGAAAAGACGACTAACTGAGTAAGGCTTCTGTGAAATGAATGTCCTATGTCACAAGGATAAACCAAAGTAACATGGCACGATTCCTTTAAACCTTTTACTTTATCGAAAGTTTTCCCTAAAAGTAGAAAGGAGCAAACTCTAGGATCACTTCACTTAGCCAAGCACAAGTTCAAAATCTCAGCATTAAACACTGGTCAGACGCCTACTATGTTATCATCTACCCAAGTCTCGTGGTGCCCATGATTCTGCTAACATGGAAAAACTCGCTGAGAACAAGGAAGTACATGAAGAATAATTCAAGTACATGATATTCCCTATTCCAACGGCCCAATGACAGTGGACTCTCAAACCCAACAAACACAAACAACAGGCATCCAAAATCTAAGTTTTATCCGACATATAGTATTTTTCAGAAGACTGAGGAGTTCATCTTAGAAAAGAATACCTACTATTATTTGTCAAAATAGCTGCATGTATTCCAAGTACCTTTGATTGACAACCTTTAAAATATAGTCGCAGTAAAATTATAAAGATCGAGAATGAATTACGTTCCAAGCTTGACAAATGCACTGAATGTACTGAGGGTAAAAGGCAGGAAAAGGCTATTTGGCATCATCACTTTTTAAATGCTTTTAAAACTCTTTCAATAATGTAATTTCAAATAAATGACAAGGACAGCAAGACAAAACGTAGGCAGGTACTCAACTGGCTTTGCTCTTTGGCATCAATTAATTCTTTTCTAATTTCCTGAACATTCATGTAAGCTCAGTACATTTAGTATCTATTAGATGGAGAAGTGTTTCTTCCATTTTCCGTCACCTGGCTAAGACGCTTGTGAAAACCATACTCAGGAACCTCACATTAATAAATTATCATTCCTCCCATACTGATTAGCCATCATTTCCTTACCCTCACCTCAGCATTTCCAACAAGAGTACAATAATGCGTTTGGTCCTAGTGCCCAGCAGAATCCAGACAGACAACTGTCTGAACAGTGGCCAAAAAACAAGGAAGTCCTTCTTCACTTTGCCCCCACTGTACTTCCCAAAGGTCTGTATCACAGCCTCGTCCATACTACACGGCAATTACCTGATAAATATAATATAAGTAATACATTACCATTTACATGCCTGGCTCTGCTGGTGGTGTGCGTGTTCCCTCACAGGTCAGAGGCAGAGTTCTACATCGTATCTAGCTTTGTGTCCCTCGTGACAACACTTAGTAGGAACAGAGTAGGCCCTCAATAAATGTTTAAGGGTTTAAGAGACCCATCTCTGTAATAGCTTTGGAGCAGATTCCATATTTCAGGTATATTTGAACCTGGATGCGTAGTCATGAGTAACAGCTCTATCACTGGATCAACCAGGCATCCAAAGATTGGAAGAGTTCGGGGTGAGCTATTGACTTAAACTGACGCAGAGCAAAGGCCAGAAAATATGTCCAAAGGAGATGCTTTGGGATATGCCACCATTCTTTTTCTCAGTACACTGATGTTTGGTCACAAAACACTTAACATCTCTCAAAAACAAAACAAAACACACACACACAGCTGAGCAATGATTCCCTCCTACTCTCAGTGACCTTGTATAGAAAGTCTGTCCTCTGCCAACAGAACAATTCATTGGAACTGGATCTCAGCTGACTGTTTTAAATTCTAGGGGCCAGGGAACAGTAAAACGACACACTTACTGGGCATTCCTCCTACAGTCTGAGACTGCTTCCTATCCCCTGTAAAAGAAGTTATTTTATTTTGTAGGTAGCTGAAATGTACCAAACTTAAAGTCCGTTTTATATTTATACTTCTAAGATCTGCCCTTGTGGGAAGGGGCTTCCTAAAGGAAAAAAAAAAAAATGCTAACTAAACACCTAACCCTGCCTTTCACATAACTACCAGTTAGACCTGAAAGTTGCTGTTTTCTCTTATTCACAAGCTAAACTCAGATTATTGCGGTTATTTTATAAAACAGTTAGATAATATGTCGAGGGATTAACTTTTGGACTAATAATAAGCATCCTGATGTGACTACCAGGACAATGTTGAGATTATGAACCACTTCCTTCAGCACTGACAAGGAAAAAAAGGTAAACACATGTGAGGGATGCTTCTGCATTACACAATTAAATAAAATATATTTTCAGTTAGGAATTATCAATGCCTTTTTATCACTGTGTGATAGTGATATCTACTCTTTTTTAGCTATTTATGTGATTCCTCTCCACAAAGCCCATAGATGCATTCATTAATGAACACAATACTTGCCCTTCATGACAAATAATGAAGACAAGTAGGGAAGGCCATACCAGTGCACCTTTGCCAACACCCTTACCCACATTCCACTAAGTAGAGACTTTCAATAACAGTTTTCCTTATGAGTCAAGTTTCTCAACTGGAGAGACCAAACCCAAACCCACAAAAGGGTTAATAAAACAAACAATGGCAGAAGCTTAACTACCCAAAAACCATCTATTTAACCCTAACCCATGGTGAAACCATTAAAAGTGGATAAAACTTATGTTAACCATCAGTTACAAACCAAAATTATGAATACATTTCTTAATGTTTGAAATAATAATGGCTTTATGTTAACTATAGCTCACCACTTCCTAATATCATTTTTTTATTTGACGTGCTAATGTTCACTCACAAATGTACAAATTCTGACCACTCACAGAAAGGTGGGAGGTGCAGCTCCTTGCTAGAATGTGACCCATGTATTGCCACTCGTATAACAGGTGAATTAGGGGAAAACCTTGAATGCCTTCTCTTATGCCCAACCAATGATTGAGGCAATGAGAGTGACCTTAAATTGCATCCTCTTTAGAAAAGCAAAGACAGCTAGTCTTGTGCCTGCCAAATACACACAGTTCTTCCCACTGCATACTCTTCATTCTTAAGTATCCAATGCTAAAATCCAAGCCTGACCTCAAGTAGCAAGTTGTAATGTTCCGACACTATGACATCACTCTGTCTGGAGCATTTTAAAATCACAATTTGAATAAATTGGCAGAAGCATAAATAGGTCACACTGAAGCCCAAAACTAAGGATATTTATCTGGCAAAGATTTCTGGCTCTGCATATACCACCATCGGCTCTAGAATGGCAGGCCTATCAGTCATCTATCCATTTGTACTTTCCATAAGCATAAATGAAAATAAAGCAAATCTTATTACCTTCCTGTATCGCTGATAATTACACGCTGACAGTGGCTTTTTTGTGGCAAATATCAGTACACAGTTACAAGCCAAAGTAAAAGCGACTGCTACCATATGATTTCAAGGAGGCTTCAGCACATCCCTACAAAGGATATTTAAAAAAAAAAAAAAAAAAAAAAAACCTCCATTTCTGCAGTCACAAAAATATCAGGAGCCTTGCATCAACTACATTCATAATTAGCCCCAAATATCTATGAAATGAAACCAGATGGTGCTACAAACATTTACCGACATACAGGGGACAGTACTATTGCTTCAAAAACAAGAACTATTAATTCTGCGCAGCAGCAAGCTACACCTTAATCATATTTATTTCATAATCCTCCTTAGTAAGATAGGACACTGACAGTTTCTCAGGAGACTCCTGTAGAATATCCAGCTTGCCTAGACTTCTCAGGGTACTGACATCCAGCTTGATTTCTTCTTGTAAAATTATAATTCATCTGAAAGCAACATGCAGAAACCACAGAGGTTTCTGATACTCTCAGCCCCACCACCTCCATCATAAATTTTCCTTTCACAATAAACAATGTGCAATCGAAAAGGTTTCCTGTTTCAAAATGGAATAGACAAAAGAAACTGTAACTCTACCATTAACAAAAACAAAAAGTTTCTTAATGAAAATGAATTGTCACAGATGAAAATGGAAACTCTCTCTCAGATACTGCTTCCTCACTTAAGGTCTAATCTGGTTCTTCCCCTAAGTAATTGTCTTCAGCGTCACCCACTGTGGTTGTCAAGAGAGGTCCCTCAGAGGGTTTTCTTAAAAATACTTGTCTGCACTCTTCTGTTATTCAACAGCAACACAACCTCATAAAGACAGAGCAAACACTTCCAAAGTATTCTATGGCCATGTACCAACAAAGAGCAGCCAACAGTAAAAACTTTGCATATCTGAGTCATATAGAGGAACTCTGAACCTTGAAGAGTAGGACAAAAGGTAAAACAACAAGTCTTTGCTCTGAATCCAACTTTTTAAAACACACAGAGTGGATGTAAGAAAAAGGGTCACTCCAAATCAAAAGGCTGTTGCCAAGACAATAATTACGAATTAACGGTAACAATAACATTAATGAGTGGTGTAAGTACAACCACAGGAGAAGAAACCAAGACCCAGGACAAATAAGGCAATGCACAGGCGCAGTCGTACGGAACTTACCACTTTGTCCATGAGTTTCCAAGTTTTCTCCACCGTCCTGCGATCTGCTGCTGCTTGCTTCGGAGGTCCAACTGCATCTTGAATAGCATCAATGATACCCAAAATCCGTCCTTTTCGGGGGTTTCCTCCTCGACCACCAGGGTTTCTGCCATTCATAGAATTTGCCATCTGGAACCTTAGTTCTTTGAAAGGCAGTTAAAAAAAAAAAAGAAAAAAGAAAAAAGTTAGTTGGTCATGAAAATGTTCCCCCAGCAGAAAACTGAACAGGTTAATTTGTACCCAACTCCATCCTCCTCCATCCGTGAGAACAAAATCCAGGGTCCCAGGTTCAACTTTTCAAGAGCCTCTGAGTCTGCACCCTCCCTCTGTACACACGACAAACAGTAAGTAGCCTCAGACTTGCTTTGGGGGCACTAAGAGTTAAAGATGCACCCTTCTCACATTTCACGTAGCAAAGCCTCCACTAGCACCCAACTCCTCAGACACACACACACACACCAAAAAAAAAAAAAAAAAAAAAACCAACAACAACAAAACAGGCAAAACCCAAAAAAAACAAAAAACAAAAAAACCCCACAACTTGCACAGGTTTCCAACTAGGTATCCTCCAACTAGATAAGGACACACTGTCCTCCTCATCCCTGCCTTCATCTCAACGCAGCGCACCCCGGACCCGGGACCCGAGCTCCCAGGGAACCTCACTTGCACGGTCGGACCCGCCGAGTCCTACAAACGTAACGATGGTTCCGCAGGAGCCCAAGGGACAGGCGTGTTGTCCGCCAAGCCTCGGGACCTGGACTGTCCCCGCTGGAACCAACAAGTAGGGACGCGCGGACTCGGACACACGCACACGCAGTTCTCTAAAGCTACGCGGGCGGGAGTTGGCTGCAAGTTAGGAGCCGAGTAAACCAACAAATAACCCATTAAAAAAAAAAAAAAGAAGAAGAAGAAGAAGAAGAAGAAGAGGAGGGGTGAGAAACTGACAAGCGCGGGCGCAGGAAGGAGGAGGAGAGTCCCGTGGCCCGGCCGCCCCGTGGCCCCCCCAGGGGAGCGGGGTCGGGGAGCGGGGTCGGCCCCTCCGCGCCCCGCCCGGGCCCAGCGCGGGGCGAGGCGCGCACACGCGGACGCAGCCGCCGCCGCCGCCGCCGCCGCCGCCGCCGCCGCCTCCCCTCCTCCCGCCCCCGCCGGGTCTGCGCTCCCGGCCGGCTGGGTCCCGAGGCCCCCGGGCCGCCCCCCGGCCCCGCCGTCCGCAGACACGCGTGTGCGCGGGCCCTGCTCTCCACGCGCCAGCCCGGGGCGCCGGAGCGCGCACGTCCCGGAGGAGGGAGCCGAGCCCGGAGCGCAGGCCGCCGGGACCGCGGAGACGCTGCAATTACCGTCGAGCGCGATCCACGGCCGCCCTCCCCGCCCGGCCGACTCCCGGCGAGGCCGCGGGCCGCCGCAGCGCCGCTCCAGGAGGCGGAGACCGCTGGCGGGACACCCCACCCCTGGCGGGGACACGCGCGCGCGCGCACTCCCACACGGGGGCCGGGGCGGGCCGGGGGCGGGGCCGGGGCGGGCCGGGGGCGGGGCCGGGGGCGGGGCCGCGCGCGGCTGGGCCAATCCCGGGCGCCGCCGCACTGCGCGACAGCGGGCGGCGCCAATGAGCGGGAGGCGGCCGTGCCCCTCGCCCCGGCTCCCGGTCCACGTCTCCCACGGTACACAATGGCCCCCGAGCGAGGCCGGCTCGCGGCACGTCCCCCACGGACAGGGCCTCGGGGGGTGGGACGCGGGGTGCGGGGGGGACATGGGCGCCCTGGGCTCACCCGAGGCCGAAAGTGGAAAAGGGCAAGGAAATGGGAGAAAGGATGCCAGGCGCCGGGGAACTGGCCAATGAGGAGTGGGCGGGTGGGCGTGAGCCTTGGGAGCCCGAGCCCCGCCGCCGGGGGCCGGGGGCCGGGGCCGGGGGGCGGGGGGCGGGGGCGGGACTTCCTGCTCCGCGCACCTTCCTCGTCTTTTGTTTCATAGCAACGGAGTAGTGGCCGCGAGGGCGTCCCGGGCGGGGGCGGGGCCGCGGCCGCGGGATCCCGGCGGCCCCCAGGGCTCGGGCGCCGCTGCGGGCCGGCCCGCTGCCCCCCGGCTGCGCCCGAAGTCCCGGAGCTCCCGAGCGATCCCCTCTTGCTGTTAGCCCCGGGGAGGGCGCCGCTCGAACCAGGCTGATGAAACCCGCACAGGTGACGGCGCCGACCCAACAGTCTCCACCAACCAGGCCCGGCGCTGCAGCGATTGCTAGCCCGTGCATCACGCCTTTTAATCTAGTACAAGTTTCTGCAAAAACGACTGAAGGGGAAACAGCTTTTTGTTGTATTTTGTTGGAGGCAGCTTTGTACAGATTCCGCCTGAAGAACCACCTTACTGCATCTGCCACTGTCTCCTAGCATTTGTGAGCTCTCCTCTGTGGTCCCCTCACTATGCCCTTTGAAAGAACCACATCTGGCTGGTCTTAAAAGGGAAAAAAGAAAAAAAAAAAAAAAAGTCTGCTGTGCCAGGGCCCTTCTTCCAACAAGATCATACATTCAACAAATGCCCCCTGTTTCTTTCTGTTTAGCTTCACTCCTACCACAGGTGCTACCAACAATTGCTCCAGGTTGTCCTGCTTTGGAATTTTCTCTCCACTGTGGTTGGTAGTGCTGGATACGCTTTACACCTTGGGCTTCTCAGATGTTGTGATATGTTGTGTCTTAAAAAAAAAAAAAAAAGGTATTTCTATTTTTTTTCCCCTAAGCTGTTAACCTGATAAAAATATTCCGCAATGGTTCTGACCACTTTCTAGCTAAAGAAGCATTTTAGTGCTGTGGTGACCGTTGTCAGGGATCCTGAGTTGTTACCATTTACTCTACAGCCCTAGATTCGGTTGGTTAGGATTTTCATTTGGTGAAAACGGGCAAAACGAGCTCTTTGCTACTAGTCAGGTGATGGAACGTCGTTCAGGAAGTAATTTTGTTTCTTGCCAACATTTCTATGCCGATAATTAAAGAGTAGTTCCTTGTCTTTACATTGTGTTTATCTACAATAGTGCTGACCTCTCCATATCTCCTCCACCCATTCCTATCTCCTTTACTCGTGGTAACAGGAGCTACATTTGCTAGCGCTGCAAAAGGGAAACATTTATTAGGTCCCCTTCTTAAAGAAATTCAAAAGTGTATGAACTGTGTATAGGCTTTTCAGCACGTAGGAAAACAGTGGCTTAAGGGAACACTATAACTAAGTGCATTACTCATGTTCCCATCTGGATAAGTGTAGAGTAAGTAAAATACATGTTATAGCATGTGGCATTCCTCTTCCATTAGTTTTGTAATTGAAAGAGATGACTTAGTGAGAAAACGCATTGCCTGTGTTTCAAGCATATCATATTGATACAAATTATAAGCTTTATGGGCTATGGTAATGCATATATGCATATATATATATGTACACACACACACCTATATAATATACGCAAACACAACATAAAAAATCACCGCTTCATTTTCAACTTTGTCAAAATCATCTAGAGTCTAAGTCAAGTTCTGACATAGCAGAGTTCCCATTTGAGCCCAAACTGGTATTCAGGGTCTGATTATGTGTTATGTCTGATTAATTGGTGGGGCAGTAGCCCTTCCTGCAAGCTGTTACCATGAGTTGATATACATGGGAAAATAAGGACCTATTGGGATAAAGCTTCATATCCCAGGAGCCTCCAATGGAAACACAAATGATAGGGTATAAGAAAGGGCTGCATACTGAAGGACTATACATATGAGCGGAGGGGGCTGCGGTGTGTAGGGTGGGAGGGGAGAAGCGTTCACAGTAGACTTAGGAGCATACACGATGGTGCTTCAAGGTGGCAGAGCTGACTGGAGAAATACTTTTCTCATATCTACATAGAACAAATCCATTTCTAACACAGTGCAGTTTAACATGAAAGCAGCATCCTTTGCCAGTGTGGTGATTTGTAACCTACAGAGAACTTGGATATGGCATCTCTCCAGGAGAGGAGTGCTCTCCTAGAAGATCCTGAACTGAGCCTGAATGGTAAGAGACTCCCACCTAAGAGTCTTGCAAGCAGCATAGCAGCCAGTAAGTGAAAAATATGAAGGGGCTGATCATCAGCACATGGGAGACCCTTCCCCTAGGACTCCCAGAAGAGACTGGAAGACTTTGTGGCAGAATTACTGAGAAATTTTGTAATGGCAACTGGTGAACCCTTGTAATTTGAGCATTCATATTTAACATTACAGGCTGGTGCCATCTGGGGAATGTAGATTATAGTCCTATCTTTGAACACAGGGAAAAACTTTTAAAAGGAAGACAACTTTTAGGGACAAAGTTTTAGACTTTTTTTCATTCAATTTTTTTTTCTTTTCTCCAAACTTCTCCAAATTCACAGGTGTCTCATGTGATAATAGACATGAGCTGATATAGACATGTTATTTAGTAACAAAGCCTTCCCATAATTTACTCCACCCATAATAGGTACTCAAAAACAAAATACTTGTTGCAGGAATGAATAGACTATTTAAGGGTATCACGTAGGAAATATAAGGCTGCTCCTCTTTCTGTGCAATGGAGAATCCACTGTATTCACAATTCTGAGCAAGATGTTACATTTCCTACAAGGCAGATTTCCAATGCCTCTCCTAACACAAAAATAGAAAATGACACAACACACATACACACACACACACACAAAAAAAAAAAAAAAAAAACCTAAGTCTTCCAGAGATTTGTTTGGAGTAGACACAAATTCACAAGCTAGAGAGAAATAAGAACATTACTACCTCGTCATATGTGGGTTTAACAGGTCATTCCTTGTTAAGAGGAATAGATTTCCATTTGTCTTTTAACAACACATAATAAAAGTTGGCGATAAGGGTTGGTGGAAATACGGTTTCATCAGACATAACCAGACTCTTGAGCACAAGCTTGGGCTCAGCTGGAATTCTTCCTTAACAGTGACAGCAACAACAAAAATAATAACAAACAAGATACAACCTTCTTTCTCTCACACACAGAAGTCTGGAAGTAGGAATTACAGATAATTCCTATCTGGTTCCATTCCATTCCTAATGGTTCCTATCTTTCTTCTGTATCATCCCAGGACCCAAGGTGGCTGTGGGTGCTCCAGCTCTTCCCACTGATTTTCAGACTACAAGCTAAGAAGAAAAGGAAAGGGTATATTGAACTTCTAGTTCAGTCAATCCCCTTTAAGCAATTTTCAGAGAACTCCCGCAAATATTTCTTTAAAGACCAGAACTCAGTCCCATGGCCATACTTAGCTGCAAAAATGTCTGGAAGACAATGTGCTTTTTATAATAGGAAGTAATAGGGCAGCCCCGGTGGCTCAGCAGTTTAGCGCTGCCTTCAACCCAGGGTGTGATCCTCGAGACCCGGGATCTAGTCCCACATCGGGCTCCCGGCATGGAGCCTGCTTCTCCCTCCACCTTTGTCTCTGCCTGCCACCCCCCCCCCACTCTCTCTCTGTGTCTCATGAATAAATAAATAAAATCTTAAAAAAAAGGAAGCAATATAACCAACTTAAAATTAGAGTTTGGATTCTAAAGAGAAAGGGGTTAATAGGTGTTTGGGAGGAAACTGGCAAATCCTACCACAAAGATTTTGTTCTAAGAATTAAACTTATGATTAAAACTATAGTTTTAATCATAAACTTATGATTAATAAATCAGTCTAAGCAAAAACTAGAGTTTCCAATGCTGGGGGTATGGAATAATGAAAATGTAGGATACTCAGTTGAAATCCAAAACATATACATATATGTGTATAATAATATATACATAATATATAACATATATAAATATGTATATTATAATAAGTTATCAGTTCCTTAGCAAAA